TAAGAAAACTGATTTTTTTAGTACTAGCAACAAATCAGTAGTTTATTAATAACAATGTTAATTTGTTAACTGATTTGTAATACTTATTTGTTAATAATATCAATTTTTTAAGTACCAACAAATTAGTGGTTTATTAATAACAGTGTTAGTTTTTGTTAACTGATTTTTAATACGTATTTGTTAATAACACTTTTAATTAAACCTTGTTCAACATTGTTAATTAATCCTAATTTGCTAAAATCAATATTTATTCTTAGTTAGTTTCTCTATGTTGCATTACAGTTCTTTTTAGGACAATTTCATCACTTAAAAGTCAATACACAAGTTAAATACCATTAAGGTCAATTTACCTTGTGTCAGAGGATTGACATGACAACAGGGGTGTTATTGTTTGTTTTAGCAAACCTAAGGTGTGTCATTATTCAAAAAAGGGTTATGTGACGCCCAAAATCCCATGATTCGGTTCATCAACCAAGATAACATAACTTGACCCGATAACTCGGTTAACATAATGCGGAAGCTAAGGTCAAAACGGTAGAAATACGGTAATCAATGGTATAATGGTCATAAAGTGAAAGTCAAGGGCAAAATGGTCATCTAATGACATTATTCCCTTTATTTGGTCTAATGAGTCCCACTAGACACTAATAAGGTCAAATAACGATGTTGTGCAAACAATAAACAAAGTACGGTGTGAAGGTGCTATAAAAAGAAGAAAGAAGAGAAAAAAAAAAAAAAAAATGAACATCATTCTAAGGCATGGGGCAACGATCGGTCGTCCAGTGTCCTACAACCCCAACGCACGCACAAGGTGATGCACATTGGCGCCCGTTGTGACAAGCGACGACCAGTTGTAGGCTGGGGCGACCGGTCGTCCTAAACATAATTCTCTAGTGAATGGTGAAATTTGGGTAAAAATTCTGAAATATAAAACGGCGAACGGTCGTAGGCTAGGACAACCGGTAGAAAAATTGAGTTTAAACCTAAAAAGCTATAATACCCCTAATTTTTACAGGATTTAATTGGATTTATTTATTTATTTTTAATGCATTTATTTGAATATGTGGCTAATTGTCTATGTGTTGTTTGATTTAAATTATTTAAATGAGTTATGTGTTTTAATTGTTTGTTTTTAATTAATTTAATTGTGTGAAATGGTTTTTATTTATGTGTAATTATTTGTAATTAATTGATAGGTTTAAATATTGTATTTTATTTATATTTATTTTATTTTATTTAAAGGAGATGGATTTGGATAGTAGTAATAGACCAACCAAATGGGTCTCGTGGACTATTTGGATAGAAAGCCTTGATGAGCATTGAAAAGTGCGCATTTAAACCCGTTAAGCTTAAGCATTCTAGTACCTTTATCTATCTTACTTTGCCGTTTTAGACTTATTACGTGTTATTCATATTTTCAGGCACTAATCCCAAAATTGAGCTAACTCAGCCAAATAAGAGCTTAATTGAAGCAATCTTGAGATAAACCAAAGGAGGGAGCAAAGTGGAGAAAGAAAGGAGCAAAAAGGAATCAAAGTTGTGCAGCTGAAAAGTTCGATCGATCCAACTTAGAGTTCGATAGATCGAACATCTATGATCGATCACAGTACTTCTCGATAGATCCAACCTTGGCCTTTGCTGAAATTCCAAGTTCGATCGATCCAACATCACCTTCGATCGATCGAACCCTATTTTGTCCGATTCAAATGATTGATCTTATCCACAGCTGTACGCTTACCAACCACTTTTGTCCTTTTCCCCATAAATATCTTCGAAATATCTCAGCCTTGTCCTTATCCGGAGGAGTCAGACCACTTCGATCGATCCAAGATGCAGTCCGATCGATCGAACCCATCTTCGATCGATCCAAGTTAAGGTTCGATCGATCGAACTTCCTCCAGCGAGAAAAAGTTAAAGTCCAGCTCATTTATTCCGTCCTTCATCCAATCATTGGAGAATATGCCTTGCACGACCACAGCTCATCATAGGGTGTATTTGACCTACCTATATAAGGAATATGATACACTTTTTGGAGAGGTCTCTAGAGTCTCTTGTCACACATTGAAAATCATCTTGGAGGCTATTCTTGGAGAGGAAGAAGGGAGGAAGCTAGAGCAACCTTTGGAGGAGACCTTCATCATCAAGGAGCAGATTTTCACCATGGATTTAGCCCTGGAGGGTTGGAGCTTCATCATCATGAGTGGCTAGACATCCTCTTGGGGCTAGAGTTAGCCCCAAACATGCCTTCTTTACCTAATCTTGTGTAATTTTGAGGGATTTGTGTTGTAATGCATATTTTGACTCTTAAACTTATGAAGATCTTGATTATTCATTGAGTTCTATGGACTAATGCTTCTAATTGATCATTTTCTCTATCTATATGTCTATGTATGCTAGAGTAGATGCTCACCTCTAGATTTAATGTTATTGATGCATGTCTATGTGTATTAATGCCTTTAATCTTAAGATTGTCAAAATATGAAGTTCTTAATGTAATGCTCTTGTTATGTCTCTAGATGGTTCATACTTATTCCTTGATGGATTGTGCTTCTCTTTTAAGTAGTGTAGTGTTAGTTGGGAAAACAATTCATGCTTGTTCTTTGATGTTCCATGCTTTTGAATGCAAGAAGCATATGCTCTAATATTGTGGTGTAATGGAATTTTGAGCTTAATGAAGGATTAATGACTAGTTATGATATGTTGTATCTTTCACATGTGTTTAGACAATTTATTCCTCTCCCAATATATATTTTGTACCTCTCACATGATGTTTAGATAATGCATGTTTAACTAAATCATCCTTATGGATTGCTTGGACTATGAGCTTAATGAAAGGGTCAATGACTTGAATTGTTATTTTGTTATCTTCACATGATGTTTAGACAATATATTCCTCTACCAATAGATGTATTGTGGCCTCACACATGTTGATTGAGACAATTTGCACTTGTTGAGTCACCCTTACCAATTGAATGTCTTTTACACACACAACATTGTTGCAACACATTCATTTCCCTCATTAGTCACTTGATTATGGTTTGGAATAGTATTGTTTGGTGGTGATCTCTACACCCCAAGACCTTTCCTTCTTACTTACTCTCTATCTTATTGCATTGCTTTATTATAGTTTAGCTCATTTAGTATAATCAACCAATCAATCAACAATTGTGTGATCATTCGACCTACTAACCCTAATTACCATAGTTTCACAATTCGATACACCATCAAATCCCTTGGGATGATCCCTACTCGCCCTATCTATATTTTATATAGAGAAAGGTAGTAGTGGCTTTCTATAAATGTAAAACTTGGCCACCTCTTAAATTCTCACACAACTCCTTAAGCTTGACTTGGTATCGCGACCCTTGTAAATGACCGGTCAAGCCTAAATGGGTATGGATAAGGACCTATGGGTATTAGTTATATATATATATAGAGAGAGAGAGATGTATATAAAAATAGATATTATTATTATTTTTATTATTATTATTATTATTATTATAATACTAATTAATATAATAATGGATGTATCAGATTTAGATATACATATATTTATTAAGGTATATATATATATGTGTATATACGTAGAAATAGTTATTATTACTATATTAGTTATATTTATTTTCCTTTTTCTTTTCTTTCCCCTTAAGCTATTAGGATTAGGACTAGGGTTATTAGTTAGCGTATAAATATATATGTATGTAGTGTGCATAAGGGTTACAAAACCCATATACGCAGATAGAGAAGGAGAGTTACAGAGAGAGTTTTAGAGAGAAAAGAGAGGCCGCGTGAGGAAGAAACAAGGCCAAACCTTAGAAGGGAGGAAGGAAGGTTGTTTCTTGGACTAGACCAGAGCAGCTAAGGCAACCCAAGGATCACCGGAAAACAGAGAAAGAACAGAGAGGAGATTTGGGTTTTCAATCTAAAACCCTTAAGGCAAGTCTATTTTCTATCTTTTCCCCTTGGAATCTATATTCTCTCCATCACATGCTGAATTTTAGGAATTAAATCATGGAATTAATTGGACTAGAATTGATGTTTAAGAACTGAATTATATATTTTTCATATTCTTGTATAAGTATGATTTTACATGATTAATTCTTTGATTTTAAGGCATGAAACTTGAATTAAATTGTTGGGCTTTGTGTATTTTCATTCTATATAATATTGGTGATGATATGGGACTTAGATACAATGATTTAGGACCCGAACGATAGAAGTCGTGAAGTAGCAGACAATATGTTTCGGTTGACCGATGAAGTGTATCGGTCGACTGATTTGGGTGTTTCGGTCGACCGATCAACCAAATGAGGGTATCGATTGACCCAAACTTCTTGTTAAGGTTGAACACTTTTGTTTTCTGAATTTAATGGTGTCTGATTGGTTTTAACACTTAAGTGAGTATTGGCTATTTGGATAACGTTGCATTCTTATATTAATTTGTTAGATATATATTTTATCCTATAGTTGTTATAACCAATAGGATAATGATGTATTGGTTAGATGTTGGTTGATTAATCTTGAATATCTATATAAGTTGTAATGTGTTATTTGGCTAATTATTATAACCACTTTTGGATACTAGGTTAGTGGTTGGTCGGTCTTACCACTTTAGTGGAGAATGGGGATAATGTTTATATTGGTAAATTATGTAATGTGCTATTTATTTTAATATACATAATTATATTAATAAATGATTAAATCAATTATTAAGTTGCAAATCATTTTGGGATAATATTATATCTGTTTAATTAATTTCATATTATTAATTATGATTTAATTATATGAATTAATGTCATTGTGATCTATAAACATGATCTATGACTATGTTATTTATTATATCTCTGAAAAAAACTATTATCACTCCAATTTGTTTATACTGGTGTAGTGTCTTCCTTCTTCCAATTGCAGTCATAAATCAAATACAGAAATTATGTAGAAACTTTGTTTGGGGAAGCAAGGATAATTTGAAAAAATTAAATCTTCTCAGTTGGGATATGATGTGTAGATCAAAAACTGAGGGAGGGTTGGGTATTAGAAAATTGAAGGACCTGCAGGTTGCTGCTTACTATGTTTTGGCATGGGATTTTTTATTGAGTAAAGATAGGCTCTGGGTCTCTTGGTTTCAAAACAGATATGCTTTAAGACCATCATACTGGAATGCTGTTCCAAAGGTCTCTTATTCAAGCCTGTAGAAAAACTTGATTAGTGTTAGAGATATAATGTTGACTAATATCCAATTTTCTATTGGAACTGGGCAAACTTTCAAGGTTTTGACAGATCCTTGGTGTGAAGGGGAAACTTTGTTACAGAAATTTGGGCACAGAAGGGTTAGAAGGTTGGGGTTCTCTTGGTCTTCTCTATTGTCCAGTATTATCATTGATGGAGGCTGGAATTTTGATCTTTTACAAGATGAAATTTTTAGACCCATTAAAGATTACTTGCACACACTGCCTGTTCACGCTAGACCAGATAAATTTCTTTGGGATGGAGGTGATTTTAATTTCAAAAAAGCTTGGAAGGGTTGTAGAACTACCTATCCAGAGGCTTTGTGGTCATCTGTTTGTTGGGGGAAAGCTAGACCTCGATGGTCTATTCATGGACTTCTTTTATTTCAAGATCGACTGCCTACAATGTACAATCTGCAGAAGAGGAAAGTGCAACTGGCACCTAAATGTTCTAATTGCCTACAACAAATTGATACCAAAGATCATGTTTTTGTTCAATGCCCTTTTGCTATGAATTTCTGGAGCTGGTTGAAGGATACACTTGGTTGGACTGTGGACTTTAGCTCTATCTTTATAGTTGAAGATTTGTTGCTTTGGTTCTCATCACAGACTAGTACAATGATTAAAACATTATTGATTGGTGGTTTTTGGAGTATTTGGCAAGAGAGAAATCGAAGGCTTCATGGTCATAGTCCTACTTCCACCTCCGAGGTGGCTAGGAATATTTTGTTTGAGGTTTTTGATGTTTATAATGTCTCACTTAAAGACATTATATAGCTATCATACTTTGTTTTTCTTCTAATTTACTAAGAATGGTTCTTCTCTAAGATGTTGTTCTTTCCAGTAAAATTCTGAGGGTATGCCCTCTGTGCGCCTATATATATTCCTTTTTTTTCTTTTTATACAAAAACCAATTATGAAATATATATATATATATATATATATATATATATATATATATATATATATATCTCTAATTTATATATTGTGGATAAGATTAATGGTTGTATGTGTTATGATCATTAAGATAGCTAATAAGATAAGCTTCTAGATATTGTACGCTATTGTTGGATATGACTTTGATATTGGATGAGTAGGTAGGATAACTAATAAGTCAAGACACGATACATTGTGCCATTGTTAGATATGGTATTTATTTATTGATATTATATATATATATATATATATATATATATATATATATATGGGAGCCATGATATGAGCCCTAGGTCTAGGGATCTACAGTTAGGTACGAGACGTATATTGCCGGATTTGGATGGGTAGCTGGAGCAAGAGATGTGTGTGCCCTTGTAGATGACGATATTCATGACCACTTTGTGTGTGCCCTTGTGGATGATGGTATTCATGACCACTTTGTGTGTGCCTTGCATAATGCTTACTATATAGTTAAGACTGCCTTATTACTAGTGTGAGTCCTAATGTGTATTTATGTATATATCGACTATATAGATATAACATGAGTTTGGTTAGGGATGTATTGATTATCGGTTCTTTAATTTGGGTCGTAGTAGAGAGGGCTTGCTCATGGGTCTAACCCACAATTTATTTTTCAGGTCCACCCTAGTTTTAGACTTAAAGGTTGTTCATGCTAATCAGAGACATTCCTATTCATTTTTTCGAATTTGACGACGTAGGATATTATCTAATTTATTTCATGTTTAGACTTAGATTATTATTTATTTCAGTTTATGGGATTAGTTTATTTAGGGGTCCATGATATTTGGATTCCTGAGTTTTACGCTGGAGATTTATTATTATGATGGGATTTTATTAGAGATTTTGGTATGAGATGATTTATCATTTAATTATTATTTTAGTTTTCCCTTTCAGCGATATTTATTTATTTTATTATTATTCCTCTTATATTATGTGCTTGTTTATTATTAGTTATTTGATATCCCTCGGTTTTGTGTGTGGACTTGATCAACACATGTTTTGGAATACACCTTCTTTCTTACTTAAAACATGAATTTTAATGGTCTTAAAACCAACCTTAAGCCTTCCCAAATGTGACACATGACATAGAGGTGTGAAATCCCTCTAGTAAATGTGCGTAACATGCTTAAGTGTACAATTTAAACAAGGAAGCCAAACTTGATTAAAATGGTTCCATGGCCTTATTACAATACATGATGAAAGTTATACAGGAGAGATGGGAGGAAAAGGAAATCACTTGACAACTCTAAAAGATAAAATAAGTTCTTAAATCATTTCCCTTCTCAAAATATACATTACATCCTCCAAATATACTCATAACCCAAAATATTACATCAAGCATGTTTAACAAATTGCATGAATACATATCCAAAACATGTCCAAAAGTAAATAAACATCATATCCGAGTTAAGATGCAGGTACATCCATATAAAGCACAGCCTTACTCGAAAAAGGTTTAAATCAACAAGGGTGAGTAATTTAAATTACTCCGTAGAAAAGTGCATTATAAAGATAACCTAGGGTTCATTGGCCTTGCAAGAATAACATAAAATACACAAGTATGGTACATGCCTCCTAGTCGTCTAATTCAAGGGTAGAATTAAGGAATCATCTTAGAACTACCATTTGAATCATGATATAAATTACTTACTAAATAGTATGTATAATGCAATAAGTGAACACCAACATCAAGTGATCCACTACAACCACACAAGAGTGTCAACTTAGAAACCAAATACGAAATCACATAATAGAGATAACTTGGACACACACACACACACAACTGATCATGCACAGAATATGCACTGAGATAACCAAGCTATTATTGGGCTACTAACCCGTAGGGAACTACCCAAGTAATCACTATAAATTGGGGAAACTCATGTCTCACTCGCGAGTGCCAAACCTTCGCATTCTCAAAGTAACAATTATCCTAAGTATCTCCCAAAATCAATAAGAATTTTCCAATGAATCATTTACATTTGAAGATGAATAATGTACTCCATAAGTGCACCAAGATTTCAATTCACACAAACTATGCCCTAAGGTCCTCAACATCAGCTCATAGAATTAATATAGATAAGATGACATGCATTGCAATTGTATATGTCCAAGCAACAAGGCTATCATCATGCTAGCAATATATTCTTCAAAATATTCTAACAACCTAATGCATATAGTCTTCAATATGAAACTCTTGAACCAATATACAATTATACACAATTTATCCTAAGATTTAATACATAATGTATAGCAATTCACATATATGAGGGTTATATAAAAGCAACCGTACACCATTGTCAAGGAAGTTAAATTAAATCACATAACTTAACCACATAGACAATTTAATCATAAGGCTATCAATACTAATGCTTTAGAATACTATGAAATCTCGGGTTAAGAGTAGGATTTCAAAGCAAAACCCTCACAACTCACACAACACAAGTATGACATGTGAAACTTTCTAAAACACAATAAAAAATTAAAAAAAATAAAAATAAATAAAAATAAAAAAAAAACACCAAGGTTACAATTATACTACACCCCCTACCTCACTAGGGAAAGCCACCCTAGAATCCAAGAAGAAAACGTCACAAAAGCTAAATCTAAGGAAATGATTTTGTTGCAAATTGAGTCCCCAAGCTTTTTCCCTTATAAAGCTTGTCCAAAAGGTGAAAAGAAAATGAAGGAAATGAAGGTCCAAACTAGAGCTTCTATGGAGGTACAAAGAGAAAGTGAGGAAGAAGAAGGAAATTAGGAGAAAAAGTGTATATGTGTTCGCGTGTTTTTTGCTCACACCGGTCGATGGACTTTTGCGGGCGTGCCAGAGTATTTGTAAAATACTCAAAATTATATGATTGAACACCAATTATCCCTTTTTCGTTGGTGGCTGACTATAGGCGAATGTGTGGGAAAGAGAATAGTATGAGCTCTCAGTAAGGTTATTTTTCTGCCTTGTTTGTAAGAACTTTTTATAAAAGTGTTAAAAGAATAAAATTGCAATTTAAAGTAAATTGAATGAACTGGCTGAATTAAAATAGACAATAAAGGAAATTGGCTGAATTGAAATAGACTGAAAAGTAATGTTTGCAATGGAATGAACTGGCCGAATTGAAATAACTACAATCTGATCAAAGATTTGTCACTGAATCCGTTTGCATAAAATAATGATTAAATTTGTAAATAGCATAATTAAGCATTGTAAAAGAAAAGTACGTTACTGGAACTTAGTTTCTTCGAATGAAATTTACCATTTGGACAAAAGATTAGAAGATAAGATAACGTTGAGTCATTTGATGAATTTTGGATTCATGCTATTTTGTGGGTGGTGCTGGACAAATTGGAATAAATTACAATACTTCTATTTATAGAAGTCTTATCTAACTAATTTATCTTTATTCTTTGCTAAAAAATCTCTCGTAGCTTGATTCTCTCTTTTCACAACCCAAACTGACTCAAACCCAGCTTGTTTTGCCTTCAATATCTTTGTTTTAGTTTCCTTAGCCGAATACCTTCTTTATTATTTGCTAATTCCTTTGACTTGGTTTGCTCCTATTGCTAGAAGGTTTGCTAATTTTTAGCAACTTCTTTCCATAATTCTGGTACCCGTTGTATTTCCTTTAAGGCTCATTGTTTAATACTCATAAATGCCGCTTGCCTTATTTAGATTTGCCCATGTGGCGGCTGCTATCTTCTACGACTTTCGTTTTCCTTCTCCAACTAAATTCCTACTTCGTAGGGATTTAGTTGTTTATTTTAGCTAAACCTCTAAGTCTTTCCTTTTCAATCAATAACCATATTCGAATTAATTCAAATCTCTGTTGCTATATTTCAGTAACAACCTTATTGATAAGGTGGCTAAATATATTTTCCTAGATTTTCTCCTAATGTTTCTTTACTAGCCGACTTTCCTCAAAATCATACTGAACACTTGTCGGCTCCTCACTGGTCCACATCACCGCTGAGGTGGCTGCCAAGTTTTGGTGCCAACAATATGTAAAATGATATATACCATAAACACCTACCCTAGCATTATCCCTCACACACACTACCATCCACACCCTCCACATATCATCATCCTAACTTTTCACATGTCTCTAATCCTCTTTCTGTGAGTTGTACGCAGCGGAATATTTAGAAAGTTTTGTATTTTTAGAAATGGATCTTGTGTCTTTAAACTTTACTTATTTTAGCAATTAAATGATTAATCACATGCAGATAAAATAAAGCAAAGCAAAAGTTAGAAATGACACCAGGATTTTTAGCGAGGAAACCCTAGTTGATAAAATACATCAACTATTTGCGCAGGAAAAACCTTATGGATTGTGCAGTCCAAAGTAAACCGATCCACTATGCTTGAAATAAAGTACACTAAACTTTGACTTTGGCTCACACCCTATCGTTCTACCAAACACAAATAGCTAGCTGACAATCCTCTAGCTTTGCGACGTCCCATCCAACAGCAACTTAACCTCAGGCTTATGCTTGATATCTGTAGAAGTGTAGCAGATAGATCAAACAACACTTAATTGAATACTTTGACCCTTTCAAAGTGTGATCGCTTTTACTTCTATTCTTCAATATTTGAATTCGATGTAGAAGTAGATCTGTTTTTCTCTGATGGTTGTAGATGTAACTGTATGATCATAACCAGGATTTGAACAACACAACTCTAAACTCACTATGTGGTTATATGTGTGTTCTAGAAAGATGACAGAGAAATCTCTTGAATTTTCTACAAAACTAATCTTCCTAAGCCTTTTGTGAATGATGAAGTTGTAGTGCTAAAGCCATACATAAACCTAGATGTTTATTAGGGT